TGTGCAAACCTGATTTGGCTTTGATCTGAACTTTCGTTAATTTATGGCGAATTGTTTTCTCCCCCATAGGAAAGCATGGAGCTGTCAGATTTTGACAGGTCCATTGGTTCCTATGGGCAGGAAAAAAAATTCACCATAAATTAACGAAAAGTCAGATCAAAGCCAAATCAGGTTTGCACATGACTTAGGGGGTCCTCTAACGAATCCATGCATTTAGAACCGTTTTTGACCCTTCTAAGACACTTTTTAAATTGAAAAAAGAAACATCGTTAAGTGAAGCAGGGGACCTAAAATCGCATTCGTTATGCGAAGCATGGTCCCAAACTTCGCTAGGAAACATCGTTATACGGTGCATATTATTTTCTAAAAAACACATCGTCATGCGAATTCAAAGTCAAAATAAAAATTATGATAAGGACTGAAATAGAAATAGAGTTATACAGTGCTTTGGGTCACTTGTTGGGAGAAATGCATCATCATCATCATCATCATCATCATACACTAGTTCTTAAAAATGTAGAGAAAAATATTTGGTATTTATTATTTTTTCTTCCTCAGATGACAACTCTTTGTAGAAGAGCTAGAAAAGCACCACAACCAACTGTTGCAGAAGAGGAGCTTCCTTCCTTTCTTGAATCGTAAGCCTTTTGTTTAGCGCATTTTTATTCATAGCATCATAGAATAACGGCGTTCAGCCATTGAGTCCAACCCCTTGCTCTACGCAGGAATCCAGGTTGAAGTATATCTAACAGATGGCTGACCAGCTCCCTCTGAAATGTCTCCAGTGTTGGAGAGTTCGCCACTAGAGATGGGCAGGAACAGCCAGTTCAGTGGTTTGTGCTGGTTTGTCCTTCTGATGATTCTGATGTTTCCCAGACCTGCCTCTTCTAGTGGGCACCCGCTCCTAGGCAGTGCCCCAACTTCCCTGCCTCCTGCAGGTGCTGCCTCTGAGTTGGGTGATTGCCAGAGGAGGCAGGGCTGAGAAGTGCTGAACCCCTGTTCAGCACTTCTGAACCAGCATGAACTGCCAAGCCAGTGGTTTGTGCCCATCTCTACTCACCACGTCCCAAGGCAACTGGTACCGTCGTCGTATTGCTCTAACAGTTGGGACGTTTTTCCTGACACTCAACCAAAATCTGGCTTCCTGTAGTTTGAGTCCATTATTACATGACCTGCACTCTGAAATGATTGAGAACAGTTCCTGTTCCTCCTCTGTATGACAGCCTTTCAGGTAGTTGAAGAGTGCTACTGTACCTCCCTTCGCTCTCCTTTTCTCAAGACTAAACGTGCTCAGTTCTTTCAGTCTTTCCTCATACGGCTTGGTTGGCAGTCCCCTGATTGTCCTTGTTCCCCTCCTCTGACCTTGTAACAGTTTATTTGCATCCTTCTTAGAGTGCGGTGTCCAGAGTGTTGACACATACTTGAAATGAACCCTAACCAGTGTTGGATTCAAATAAGGACAGTCTGCCAAAAGCGAAGGCAACATTGGATGAAGTTGCTGGAATTTTTGGATCCATGGGAGGTTATGAAAATGAGACTGTACATAAATTGACAGCATCTTTCTTTGAACAACTTCTTGTTTATAAAGACAAAATGAATACTGATACAGACGTATCAAAGTTCAAAGAGAAGTGTAGTAGTATTGTGATCTATAGCACCATCTTGTGGCTGTTGATTTAGCAAAAATTTTAAAGTATTATTATTCAGTTTATATTGTTCTTCCAGTTGCCAACCCCATGAATCGAGTTCAGAGTGACTTCCATTAAAATGAAAGCAATACTGGCTTTTGTTGTTGTTTAGTCATGAAGTCATGTCCGACTCTTCGTGACCCCGTGGACCAGAGCACGCCAGGTCCTCCTGTCTTCCACTGCCTCCCGGAGTTTGGTCAAATTCATGTTGGTCGCTTCGATGGCACTGTCCAGCCATCTCGTCCTTTGTCGTCCCCTTCTCCTCTTGCCTTCACGCTTTCCCAACATCACAGTCTTTTTCAAGGAGTCTTCTCATGAGATGGACAAAGTATTGGAGCTCAGCTTCAGGATCTGTCCTTCCAGTGAGCACTCAGGCTTGATTTCCTTCAGAATGGATATGGTTTCTTCTCTTTGCAGTCCAGGTGACTCTCAAGAGTCTCCTCCACTACCACAGTTCAAAATCATCAATTCTTCAGCAGTCAGCCTTCTTTATGATCCAGCTCTAACTTCCATACATCGCTACTGGAAAAACCATAGACTATGCAGATCTTTGTTGGCAAGGTGATGTCTCTGCTTTTTAAGATGCTGTCTACGTTTGTCATCGCTTTTGTCCCAAGAAGCAGGTGTCTTTTAACTTTGTGGCTGCTGTCACCATCTGCAGTGATCATGAAGCCCAAGAAAGTAAAATTTGTCACTGCCTCCATATCTTCCCCTTCTGTTTGCCAGGAGGTGATGGGACCAGTGGCCATGATCTTGGTTTTTTTTTCCATGTTCAGCTTCAGACCATTTTTTGCACTCTCCTCTTTCACCCTCATTAGGAGGTTGTTTAATTTCTCCTCACTTTGTGCCATCAGAGTGGGATCATCTGCATATCTGAGGTTGTTGATATTTCTTCTGGCAATATTAATTCCAGCTTCAGAGTCATCCAGTCTAGCCTTTCGCATGATGTATTCTGCATATAAGTTAAATAAAGCAGGGGGACAATATACTGCCCTGTCATACTCCTTTCCCAATTTTGAACCATCCAGTTGTTCCATATCCAGTTCTAACTGTTGTTTCCTGTCCTATGTATAGATTTCTCAGGAGATAGACAATGTGGTCAGGCACACCCATTTCTTTAAGGACTTGCCATAGTATGCTGTGGTCCACACAGTAAAAGGCTTTTGCATAGGGAATGAAGCAGAAGTAGATGTTTTTCTGGAACTCTCTGGCTTTCTCCGTAATCCAGCGCATGTTAGCAATACTGGTAAACACCATTATATTCCACTTGATGCTTAGGAAGGTGTTCATAGCCTAAGAGATCTGTGCCCCAAACCTTACTGTGTTTTTATTCTGGTGCAGAATACTTAGCATAAATCTCAGAGGCAAGTTGTTGCGCATTAAAAGTCAGTGTAAGCATTTGTTGTTGTGTGGTGTGTCCTGGCCTATGCAAATGTCTTAACTTTTGAGAATTTGTGTCTCAGATTTTTACTTCTCGCATTACCCTAGCTTTTATAACTAATATAATTATGTCCCTGTTTTGTGTCATGATTCTGTGGAGAATAGTATAAATAATATAAATATCAAAATGGCTTATTTTGCAGTGCCATCTCAACCGTACCTGTAGAAAACAGGGTGAGGTACAGGTTTAAAGGGGATTGTGGAAACAGACACTTTTTTACAACTTGGTGTCTCCCCAAGCAACCTAACTTGGAGGCAGTGGGTGCCGGTGAACTGCCTGCCATTTTAATTGACCACAGTGTTGTGATAGGGCTTGGGAAAAATTTTAAAGAGGTGATTCATAGCTGCCATTGTTGTTTAGTTGTTAAGTCGTGTCTGTCTCTTTGTGACCCCATGGACCAGAGCACGCCAGGCCCTCCTGTCTTCCACTGCCTCCCGGAGCTGGGTCAAATTCATGTTGGTCCCTTCGATGACAGTGTCCAACCATCTCGTCCTCTGTCGTCCCCTTCTCCTCCTGCCTTCACACTTTCTCAACATCAGGCTCTTTTCCAGGGAGTCTCCTCTTCTCATGCAATGGTCAAAGTATTGGAGCCTTGACTTTGGGATCTGTCCTTCCAGTGAGCTGCCATATCCAGGCTAATAAGCAAGCCTAAACTGGGTTGTGCCAATGCGTGTGGCGTTTAGTCGTTTAGTCGTGTCCGACTCTTCGTGACCCCATGGACCAGAGCACGCCAGGCCCTCCTGTCTTCTACTGCCTCCCGGAGTTGTGTCAGGTTCATGTTGGTTGCTTCGCAGACACTGTCCAGCCATCTCATCCAATGAGATTGTAGATGTGCCAATGAGATTGTAGATAAACCCAGCTTCTGCAGAACCAGGAATAGTACCAGACTATACTGAGCCCCTGACTGGTATGATAGAGGCATTGGTGACGTACAAGCACTGAGCCCTTTTGGTTTGCCTGGATGATGATGTCATCTGAAACTTGCTTGTTGGATAGGACATTTTAGTCACTTGGAGTCCCCTCTGAGCTAGACCTTTTGCAGCATTGTTGTCTCAACTGTTGTAAGCCACTTCCTCATGTTACATGCACTTGCCATGTATAGCTGTTATTATTTTAATCCCCAAACAACTGGGACTAGAAAGATATGTCCCGACAACATGGATTTTTCCCAGTGAGATATTTTTCTGATCCAGTCAACATAATGCCGTAATGAAATTCCACACCATGTTTTGGCAAGCCGTGCTTCCGAGAGGTAGAGGCAACATACTCTGGTTCTCAGTGAACTGGCCCCATTCTGACAACTGCTGAAATTCTAAGTGGGTCAGAAAATTCCCCAGAACTTACAAAGTTCACCCTCTTTTTTTAAAAAAAAGAATAGCTTGGTACATGAGAGTTAAGCTTTCTTGTTAAATTTAGCTGCAGCTCTTAATAAAAATAATCATGTACTGTTAAGTCAATTCAGACTTATGGCAACCTTTTCCAGGATTTTCTAGGAAGAGAATACACAAATGGTTGACCATTTCCTTCTTCTGGGGGGCACTGTGCAGCTTGCTCAAGGTGACACAAACTGGCTGTAATCACAGGAGGCATGGTGGGGAATTGAACTACCAACCTCTGGCTCCACAGCTAGATACTGAAACTGCTGAGCTGTCCCCTGGATATTCCAGTCCTTACAGTAGCTAAATATATTATGGTGAGCTATTTCCCCCTATTATATAAAATATTTCAGGGTGGCTTTAATTTAAGAATTTGAGTTACATATAAGTATTCTGCTACCTCTTCTGGGAAGTAACCTGCCACTTTGATCTTGTTCTTTCCACTTAGTCATCATTCCAGTACTTTTTTTTGCATGTCTCATGTACAGGTTGCTTCTTTTCTTTATCAACTGTATTCTGTGAGACTCCATTCCCTCTAAAATGTGCTCCTACTTTCTTCAGATCTTCAGAATCAGAAGAGGAAAAGCATGAAGATGAATGGGAGCCCAAAAAGAAAGTTGCAAAGAAGGCCAGAGTGCCAAAAACATCCAGAGCGAAAAAACCTGCCACGGCCCAGAAGAAACCATCTGCGGCTCGGAAAAGAACTAAGAAAGTAGCAGTCAAGGAAGAAACGGTGAGTAATAGAACATTCGAAGATGTTTCCTCTTCATACCATTGGAAGGAATGGATACAAATTGTCTTTGGGAGCGGAGGTTCTATACAGTGGTGCCTCGCTTAACGATTGCCTCGTTTAGCGATGTTTTCGCTTAACAATGTTTTTTTAAAAAGAATTCTATGCATCATTTAACAATGTTTCCTATGGGCGATTTTCGCTTAGCGATTTTGGAACCATGCTTCACATAGCGAATGCATTTTTAGGTCCCCTGTTTCGCTTAACGATGTCCATTTTTTCAATTTTAAAAGTGTCTTAAATGTTTAAAACATGTTTTAAATGCTTGGAAGTGTTAGTGCACCTTCTAAAACGTGTGCAAACTTAATTTGGCTTTGATCTGACTTTTCGTTAGTTTTTGGTGAATTTTTTTCTCCCCTATAGGAAAGCATTGAAACCAATTTTTGACAGCTGTCATAACAGAACATCTGCATGTGCATTAGAGCCACGTGTATACAGAACAGAAACTTCAGAGCCACTGAATTCTTGCTGTACGTGAGTGCAGCAGTGGTCTTATGGTGGCAGAACAAATCAACATTTTGTAAGACAATTTTAAAAAATGGAGGGATAGCCCAAACAAAAAATTAGTACTTTTAAACGGAGCTTAAAACCATCATATTTGGCACAATTGTAGCAGTCTGCTATTGCTCTGTGCCACATTTGGGGAAGTTTGGGCAAAGGGTTTATGAGTTAAAATCCTAAATGTACCCAGATTTAAAAGAGAGAGAGAGAGAGAGAGAGAGAATGGAGGTGTTTTTGAAGAAAGAATTTTATCTAGAGTGATAATTATAAGTGTACTGTTTCCTAGATTTTTACTAGTACCAAATGGGTTGGTTTTTTTAAAATAATATAACAGTAATAGTAAAAGCAGTACTAGTAGGTGGATTCTGGATATTTTTACCCTGTCTTTTTATTCACTTTTCTTAAAAGTCTGATAGAGATTAGATGATAAACCAAAGCTGAATATTAGAGGACACGCTTTGCATATCACAGGTTCAGTTGCTTCCCGTTAGAAACAATCATGTAACAACTGATGAGAAGAGCCTCTTTTCCACCCAAGACGATGGCATTGCACTGCTTATCAGCAAGTCTGTTCTTAATGGACTGATCTGAATGGTCTGATCTGGAGTAACACACTTCTAGCTGGAACAGGGCAACATACTCTTTCTCTGCTCCTTTAGAGGGAGCGTAACCCTATTTTGAACAGGCAGAATGGATTGCAGTACTATATTTCATTACATTGTAAATTGGCCCTGGAATGCATAATTAAAAATTTTGGAGACACCTCTGATTTAGGCCAGATACCCAGCCCACTGAGCTATCCCTGGGTTATGCTTTGTGTAACGTTGTTAAATTACATGTTCCCAGTTTAGGTATAATGGGCATTTGTATATTTAAGAAATGAGGTGACCAGAGTTTTAGACTCATGATTGCCTACACAGTTGCAAGTCAGCTCTTGTGTAAATCCCATTGGTTCTGTGGTTCTGCTCTGTTTGAGATTGATAGTTGCATTTAGGCCTTCTTTTATCCTTTATGCACATTCGTTTTTAACCTATTTTGATGACTTGGGCAGGATACATCTTTTCCTGTTAGTGCCCCTGGCGCAGAAGAAGGCAATGTTCAACTACAGTGGCCCAAGGAAGAAGAGGACACAAAGCCCAGAGGTATTTCGACAAAGCTTCTGATGAAAAACACTGGGGTCCCTCCAGGAGAACCTCCCTATGGCCTGGAAAATGCTGAAGAACCCTCCACAAGTACTGCAGCATTTAAACAGCAAGTGAAGGCGGAAGAGTCTCAGGAAGACTTCACATTTGATGAACCTCCTCTGAAAAAAATTAAGTCGGCAACATGCCTGCAAGGAAACCCTGTAAAATTTGTACCAACTGCTAAAGTGGGAGGAGACCTTCAAATGAACTGGGACATTGTGCAGGTATAAGGTGTTTTTTTAAAAATTCCACTCCTTTCATTAAAAAGCTTGCTTGAACCTCCATTGCCCAGAGAGAGTCTGTGCTGCAGGCCAGCGCATAAATTTGGTTTCTGTTCTGTATAATAGCAGTTCTGGATGCATTCCAGAAAGCAAATTGGCGTTTTCTTTATTTTTTAAAAAAATAAATTGCATACTTTCCTTTGCTTTTGATGAGAACTTCTGAGCATAAGTTAAAGTGCAGGAAGGTTACAATTAGTATCAGGTTTCACAAGAAAATATAAAAAGGAAGTCCTTCTGATATTGTTGAGTAGAAGGGAACTCATGAGAGGAATTATCCTTTTTCATTTATTTGGCTTCCCCAGCTTGGTGCAAAGTTCCAAGATTAGAAAGCGACACAGGTAGGAAGGTGGTAGAAATGAAAGATCTATTTTGTGGCTTGGTTTTTGAATTTTTTTTCATAAAAGATGGCTGCTGAGCTTCTGACATTTTTATTAGAGTTGTGGTGTAAATCCTATCCTTATTTCTACAAAAATCTTTGTGTCATGCTAAAGTGCATGAGGGAGAATTTTGGCTCCTTTTGGTAGTTGACAGTGAAAGTTTTGCACATTGGGGTTGGTTTATGTTAATGCTACACAAAATGGCTGAGGGCTCATTCTGCCTCACCTTCCTTGACTTTTCCTCTCATTTGGGGAAATGTGCCTGCACAGAGGAGCATAAAGACATTCTTGGGGGGAGGGGGGAAGGAGATGGAGATTTTCATCATCCTTCACATTACATTTTGTTTCTGCTCCTTAAGGTAAATCACATTTTTACAGACTTTTTTGTGAGAAGAAAAACTTTTTGCCTTAAAATTTTTATTTTTTGAAACCATGTTTTGGGGTTTATTTTTAGTTCTGAATTGCATATTGATTTTTTTTAAAAGGGAGTTGAAAGATGGCAAAGGAAAGGTGGGATGTTGGGAAGTTGAAGAGTCATAAAGGAGACAGGATGCCAACGAGCTTGGGAAATCCTACAACTAAAAAAACAACAACAACCCACAACCTTCATGACAGTAGGTCACTCAGGCTGGAATCTTATTGTATGTTGCGATTAGAGTAAGCCCCTTCAGTCAGTGGATATTTGATGAGTCAGATCCATAAATTCCATTGGTACAATCCACTGATTTCAGCCAGTGAGTTATAGAATCGGTTGCGATTAGAGTAAGCCCCTTCAGTCAGTGGATATTTGATGAGTCAGATCCATAAATTCCATTGGTACAATCCATTGATTTCAGCCAGTGAGTTATAGAATCCTAGAATATTTAAGTTGGAAGGGGCCTATAATGCCAATGAGTCCAACTCCCTGCTCAGTGCAGGAATCCAAAGCATAGCACATCTAACAGATGCATCTCCAATTTTCTCTTGAATGCCTCCAGCACTGGAGTGCTCGCCACCTCCTAAGGTAATTTGTTTTATTGTTGTACTGCTCTAACAGTGAAGAATTTTTCCTAATACTCCACCTAAATTATAAGCTACTTCGTGGGAATCTGTGTCGTGCTTCCTGGTTGGGATAGCTACCTGAGGAATTCTGTAATAAAAATACACTATATTCTTCGACGTGCTACAATCTGAGCTAAGTCATTCTTGTTTTCATTTTTCAAGAATGCAGATATAATTACAGGATACAAAAACCTCACTACCATTAATTGTATTTTTTTAAAAAATGATAAAAAAGGGCGATGGCTGCACAGGAAGTCATAACTGCTTGCTGTAACGCTGAAGTAAACCAATCCTCAAAGTCATGTTTACTGTGGAATTCTAGGAGGTATAATTAAAACATAAGTAATGTTTCTCATATCCGACTGTTACTCCTCATGCAAACCTCTTATGGTGCGAAAAATACGGTAAGTAATGTTTCTCATCTCCGACTGTTACTCCTCATGCAAACCTGCTCTTTCCCAAATGTGAATGGACCACACCAAACTGATGGTTTTGAAAATCATTTTCTCTGGCAGAAATTGTATTTGAATTGTAGGTTTTCTGTTGCTGCTGCAGGTCTTGTCACAGAGGTGTGGCATTGAAGAATGGGTGTGTGCAAATATCATCCGCCTCTTCAACGACGAGAACACCATTCCGTTCATAGCACGGTATCGAAAAGAGCTGGTCAATAATCTGGAAGCCGAAGCCTTGCGTGAAATACAACAAACACTGGAAGAGCTTCAGTAAGTGTGGTCTTGGTGCGGGAGGTAGGATGTGAAAGGGGGAAATAAAGTCCTCCTCCTTCTGATCCTCCTCTCGTACAAGAGGTCAGAAGTTATTCATGGCTGTTGTGACTATGGATGCTGAAGCTCAAGAACTTCTCCCTGCTTTACTTCTCCAATTTTATTTTACCTTGAACTGTTGGCTGTACCAATCTGTTCATTTCATTTATCATTATTTAACCAACTTATTCTAGCCTCCAGGGTTTTACTATTATTTATTCTGAGTTTGATTCAGATATATTAAGGTAGCCCGCTCAAGGCTGACTAAGCTTCCATTCTCCCGAAGTCAGTAAATTGAGTCCCCACTTCGGGGTAGGAGTGGGGAGTCAATGTGTAGCCTGTGCAATTCAGTTGTAAACTGCCCAGAGAGTGCTTTTAGTGCTGTGGGGTGGTATATAAGCAGCCCACTTTGGAGCTGTTTTTTGGGGTTTTTTTTTTTTGCCTGTCTTGGTCTTCATTTGTTCAGCTTCATACTTCTTCTGAAGAAGTAGACTTGTCCACGAAGGCTCACAGGAAAATATAACAGTTAGTCTTTAAGGTGCCACAGTGTTTTTGTCTTCTTTTTTTAAAAATTGTTTTGTTTTTGCCTGATATTAAAACAGTTTGTCTCTTAAATCTGCAGGCTTCTTCCAGTCTGTATCACTACACCACATAAACTCACATGCACAGGTACACGGACTTTCTATACCAAAGTGAGCTATGCAAAACTTCCAAAGAAGCAGACTTGCCCACAAAAGCTCTCATTAAAATACAGTAGTTAGTCTTTAAGGTGCTACTTACATTTTAATCTTCTTTATTTATTTGGTTTTGGGTGTTTTTTTTGTTTTTTGTTTTTTTTTGCATGACATGTTAGTACAGACTAACCGAAGGACGGACTTCTAAAACTGTTTTTAAATGACTGTCACCCTCTCTGCTTTTGTCTTAGCACTGTAATAAAAAAAGTTCATGGCGCCATACAGAAGCTTAAGAAAGAAGGAAAACTGTCGGGAAGCCTTTTGACTGCTTTGCTAAACTGCAGAACTGTGGAGGAGCTGGATCATGTGGTCAGCATCACTTCCTTTCCCTTTCTCTTTAAATATCTGCTCTCCGTAGGCTTTTAGTACTGTTTCCTTCCAGAACCTTTTGCTTTGTCCTGTGTACATTTGATCTGCAGACCCTTGCTTATTACAAAAGAAAATGAAATGAAATCGAAGATGCCTGTGACTGTATAGAATTGTCAGAATGGCCGATCCTGATAGATTTTAGTAGATTTCATGGAAAATGTATTGGCCGCCTTGTTTAAATAAAGTGGCTGCTCCCATTGTACCTATGCATTACAGGAATGGGGAACATGCAGTAGGGGTGGGTAGCATGTGGTAGGTGTCTCTGAACTGCCACTTACCCAAACCTTACTAGCATAATCACTGAGGGAGGCGTATAGGCGTTGATAGCAACAATATCTGGAGGGCCCATCCCTGAAATCTGACTTCCTTCTCTATAAGCATGCTGAAGACTGCAGAACATTTTCTCCCCGTTTGTATCTTATTTCTCTCATTTTTAAAAGAAATGTATTTTTAGAGAGACTTGAATGTGTGCATTTTGTTGTCGTTTTTCTGTAAAGCATCCTGGCAGTCCGGGTGCTGTATTGTTACTGTGATCACTCCCTCTGAAATAGCGAAGCATGGAAAGATCACAGAAGCGGGCAGCAGAATTCACAAGAATGTTTGCATGGTTCTCCTTGTCTTCAGCTGAACCCAGCCTGTCTTCTCCGTCCTAGTATGCACCATATAAAACTGGAAGCAAAGGAACTAAAGCGCAAAGGGCCCGGCAGCTGGGACTTGAACCTGCAGCTACTTTGCTCCTTGATAACCCGAGAGAGCTCAACTTAAATTCATACGTCAAGTCAGGGGTTGACGGTAAGTGTGTGTACCTCTCATAATTGCTAATATAATTTGGAATGCTCCTTCCAGCAGGAAAAGGAAAGGGCTATGTGGATTTTTGTTTTAACAATTTGTGGAACCTGTTAAACGGTGGATCCTTGAATGGTGGGGCTGCAGAGCACCTGCTTTTCAGACAGACAACTCCAGTCTCAGTCTGTATGAAAGAAGCTTGAGTGATATCTTGGGGGGGGGAATGCTACCTGCCAGCATCAATAAGAAGACACTCAATGCTTTCTTTGGATGTTTGCCAAGAATGGCTTGAATAAAAAAAGGCATTTTGGAGGAATGGAGGGCACCCTCCAGTCTTCACATTTTAAAATACCGGTTGGTTGCACCCACAGGTGTAGGCTCACGTGTGATGTTTCCCTGCTGCCATCTCAGATATGTAGTCATAGAGTTGCTCACAGGGCTATAAAGATGGTTTCAGAGACACTGTGACTTCTCCTACGAATGCGGAGGTGAATCTACACACAGCTGTAAGAACCTTGCTGATGCTTATTGGATAAAACCCTGTTTCTCAGAGTAGTAAAAGCAAAAGAAGCAAAGAGTGCTGCTTATACACTTCCCCACAGTGCTCTGGGTGGTTTACAGTTGAATTATGCAGGCTACACATTGCCCTCCTCCTCCATGGAAGGCTGAATGAATCTCGAGCTGGCTACGTGGGATTGAACCCAGGTTGTGTGCAGAATTTTGGCTGCAGTACTGCAGTTTAACCACTGAGTCATGAGGCTACTAGTGAGTCTCAGTAAAGTGAGCCTATTGAATTAGTGGGGATTTGGTGAGTCAATGCCTCTGTAACTTCCATTGATTCAAATGAGTCTGTTATAGTTGCAATTTACTGTAGCATTGAGGATGCAAACATTGTCACATTGTATAAGAACAAAGGAGATGGGTGACTGCAGTAACTACCGTGGCATCTCTCTTCTCAGTGTTGTAGGGAAGCTGCTTGCCCGTGTTGTGCTGAAGAGACTCCAGGTGCTTGCAGACAGAATCTATCCAGAATCACAGTGTGGATTTCGAGTTAATAGATCCACCACTGACATTGTATTCTCCCTCAGACAGTTGCAGGAGAAATGCAGGGACAACCTCTCTTCGTGGCCTTCATAGATCTCACAAAGGCCCTTGATTTGGTTAGCAGGGATGGCCTTTTTGAAATACTTCCCAAGATTGGATGTCCACCTTGACTCCTTAACATCATCAGGTCCTTTCAT